GAAAGGTGGGGTAGGAAAGGAGGAAGCAAAGACGGGGCAGCATCTTTTTCTGGGTACAAACTCCAATGATGGACTTCTTACCGTGAAGTGGGTTTTAAAATGTACAGGCGGACTATGACATCATGGGTGTTTGCCAGAGTTAGTAAGATAATTTCAATTAATTTTATCTAGTAAGTAAGTGGTAAATTCCACGTTTATAGTTGATATTTTTGGCACAGTGTTACTCGTCTTAAAACCACATCTTAGTGCATAACAGACTTTCTAGGTTGACGAAGAGTTTGACGATGGGTTTCGATTTGAGGAGGGTTAGGAGACGAATCATGGTGACCTGTGCAGGATTGTCGAAACACTAGAAAACCGAAAAAGCAAATCTTGTCCGGCATTTCGTTGAGAATTTGCTTCCTCTTATGTCTCCTACATCCATAATCTCGAATCGCACAACGCACCGGTAACCATACCTCGTAAATGTAAAACAATAAATGGTAGTTGTTTTGCATGATGTTTGGACGTTTCCTACTAGTATCCGCGATTGTTGCTCATTATTGGTTCGAATATAAAAATATAATCTATATAACTTTATGATCTAGTGTTAAAGACCTACATGAAAAGAAAATGAACGTAGCTGGTCGATAAAGTTGTATTATTGATGGTAGAGTTGGGCCATGCCAATCTTTAAACTGGCTATTAACAACTTGGCCGGTTTTACACTGCAGCTCATAAATAATATAGTCCAACTACATTACAAAGCCATTAATAGCAACACCTACAATAAGGATGTTTTGAGGTGTCGTTAAATCAAAATGTTACTGGAGAAAGACAATTTATAAAACTGTGTCCTATGCTAAATATGTAGGCCACACTTTCGGAGTGTATCACCACGACTAAAACGACTTTTTAACTAGTGCAACGTCACGAACCCGACGGTAAGGTATTGCTTTCTGAAGGACTCGGCTAAATGCGCATCTTGGTTGCCAGAGAACACACTAGAGGGTCATATGTTGAGATAACGCCAGCGACATATCTAGTGCCATTTTCCTTAAGCAACGGTAGGTTGTTTAATCTATCCGTTGCTCTCAGAAAGTTTTCAACACGTATACATGTACTTAATATTCAAAAACATTTCAAAGCATTCTAACACCTCTGTCCATCTTTAGCAATTTTCAAAGTTTCCACGTGGGATTTTTCCGGTAATGGCGACACAATTCATTCGTGTAGTCGTACTCGCTTTGCCGAATCATTGATTAGCATGATATTTCAATTAGATATGAATATTCTGTTGTAAAGATATTCTTTTCATTTGTCTTCTGAAAACTATCTAATAGCTGTTTTAAACTCAACCGTGAACTTTGAGACTCAATTATCAGAAAGCAAATTTGTTACTAAAATTTTTTGTCTGGTTATTCAAACATTTTCCCGCAATAATTTGTTTGAAGGAATCTAATTGGTAGAGAAGAAAACTCTCTACCAATCAACTTAATGAGGAGATTATAGGATCACAAGCCCAACGGAAAGGTTGTCTTATCATTGCTAAAGGAACATGACCTTGCGCGTTCGACATACATGGTCCCACATACCATTTCTTCTACTCCACAACTGCTTCAGCTTCATAAGCATCTTGGTTTCCAGAAAACAGAGATAGCCATTAAGCTACTTCAGGTAACGTAAGGGGCATGGGCATGCCACGTGCGTACGATATGTAGATTTAATTAAAACACCGTCTATCCTTGAAAATACACTATTCTTGTTTATGCACAATATGTGTTTATTCGTACATCTTGTTATTATGGAAAACTAACTGAATTTCTAGAAATATACAATCGTGGCAGAAACCGAATAACAAACTCAAGATAAATAAATATTTGATTGATTGACGTTTAATTCTGTGTTGGTTTGATAAACATTCATATAAAAATAGTTTGCGTTTGAAATAAGAATTGGAATTGGAGTTTTGTGTCCTACTTTTCTACTCTATTAAAGAAGGCGAAGCATTGCAGTTACAAGGGGCATCTCGACAGTACAGCAACATAAGTCTACTATACATTTCCAAATGTCAAGGTAGCCCGAGAATCTGGCCCTATCTGTTTCTGGAACGGAATATACGGATGTGATATCGCCACAGTTAACGCCATCAGTAGTTTTCGTACCATAAAAACATTTCTTTACGATTTGAATAATCTGCTTAGCTATTGTGTTGAATTAACAATCGACTCGACAAATCATCAGCAGAAGCAATTTGTTTCCCTGTCTTAATTGGCACTCGAGGGTTAATGAAGGTTCTGTTCTCGACATGTATCGCCTTAACTAGGTTTCAAAATCAAGGCTGGTTAACACTCTTATTTTTAAAATATTGATAATCCAATTGACAGGAACATTCAACTAGTTCGATGAAGTCATCATAGAGATTTCCTCTTCCCCCTTTTACCCTTTCCACATACAGGTCAGTCACAAAGTAAAGATTTGTGATAAAACGAGGTTCGCGTAAACGGTGAAGACAATGAAATAAGTTATGAATAACTGGTCCTCTCTTTTTGTGAATTTGCTGAAATTGTATTCGGTGTGATGATAGCTTTGAACTTGGCTGATAGTCAAATTTTGTGGAATTGTGTTTTAAGTGTTAGTGTTTGTATTTAATTAATACTGGAAGGTAATTAACCTGTTTGTATTAATCAGATTAAAGTCTAACTGTACATATAGTATTCATAAAATAACAGAGGTACTTTCACCGTGGTATACATGAGAATGGTATATTAAACAGTATGGGGTATGTTCGACTTCACATAAAAAAAATGTGTCTATACATCAATGCGAACAATTTTCTATTATTCGAAAAAGTCGAGTAAAAAGAATTTACCAGACCTAATTTTCAGTTTGAGCAAAATTACACAACGAAACATTTTCTTCATAACAAACATGTTCCAATTCTGACTAAAAGCGGAATTCGTACTTTTGATCTCGGGACGTTCAACTCCTTTTTCTTGCTCGAACAATTCATTTGGATAGAGGTTATATAGTACACATGCATCTGATGGTGCAGTATCTATTTTTAGAACAGATTTACATTTACTTTTTTCCATTTAAGAATTGTATTCAGTCCAGGAATTGTGAGGTAGCTCACTACTCTCAAAAGAAACACTACTGGGCTACCCAATTTCTAAATCTGACTAATAAGCGATCATTTCCGAAAAAGGATATACTAGTCGGTGAGTCTAATAGAAGACTAAATCTTGAGTAAGATGTCGAAACTGACTCGTACACCTTGGGAATACCATGATGACAAAAAACATGCATGTTCGCTCAAGCCTGTCTTCATTAGCCCAGTTACACACTGTTCAATACGACATATTACTCTTATCAATCTATTGTGTTTTGATCCAATTCAATTATATAGCCTCTCTTAAGTACCCAATACTTGAACGAAATAGCGAACGATCACACGGTGTCAAACTGTGTTGATTCGAGATTGACACTGATTCTCAATGATGCTCCAGGTTCAATTTCTGTTGTGAACCACTGACGTCATAGACGAAGAAGATAAAGTAATGTTGAAACTGTCGTGTAATTAGTAAGACCAGCCAAATAAATCACCTATTCCTGCTAACTAATTTTATTTCAGCCGAGATTGGTAACTCTTCTTCAAATTATTTACTTTCAGCTGTTGTCAAGACTTGATTGTTTGACAAGTAATACATCCGGAGTGGCAATGGGGTATGGTCTTTAGATCATGAGCCGAGTATGTTGTCGATGCTGCTCTAACAAGCGCCACTGCACACTTCCTCGCATAGGGACCAAAACATTAATAAACTATAGTCGAGAAAAGACATTTATTTTCATTAGATCCAGATTCTTATCATCAATACGATATTTTGGCTAATGTAAAAAATATTTGTAATATTAAAGGTTTGACTTGACTTAACGGTTTAGTTTAATTTTACTTTATATTAAGATTAGCTGGAACAGTTTAGTTCATAATTAGCTCGACTATCACTTGTTAAATGTGAATATGTAGTCCGACAGATCTGGCACTACCCAGTTCCTCTGACAAGATATTCGGATAGGATATCGGAACTGAGCTAATGTCGATTTTCATAGTCGCTAGTTTTTAGTATTTTTCACTATGACCAAACTATACTGTCTATATAAAGCTGAACCATTAACCACAATGGCATTGTGCCCCACACGGTACCAGAATACAGTCAAGGGATAAGCTTAACTCCTACGAAGTTTTACGAATCATGGGAAAAACATATCCCTCGAATGTATTGTAGTACCGTGTGGGGCACAGACACATCGCAGGATGTTTGACAATATCTTGATCGATTCATTACTGGTTCAACTTTGTATAGATACCAAAACTTATGACAAATTGGGCTTTTGTTATGATAAAAATTCTCCAAAGACATTATAATGTCTGGCACTATACCCAGTTCTGATATATCATCCAAAAATCACGTCAGAGAAATTGGGTAGGGCCATATTTGTCAGGTAAATAATAATATACTATTATAATATATTGGGTAGAAATACGAATCAAGGTAGATAATACTCGTCAGTATACTCAATAATGACTACAAATAACTCTTTCATATCATCAGGGATAGCCAACCTTAATTTCTAATCAATTTAAATCTAAATGCTTAATAATATTCAGACGAAATCGGTCACGTGCTATGTCTATGAATGTCTTGACAAATGCAATTTTACCAGAAAAGCAAAAGATACACATGAAAATTAACGTGATAACATAAAGAAAAACATTAATATATCAGATAAACTAAACCAAATACGATGAAGTGTGTATCTAAAAGGACTTTAGTATTTCACATCCTTCTGTCTTTTTCTTCATTTCAAATTCACTTATTTGTTTCTTTTATCTAATTTACAAATTAAGCATTTTGTATTGTGGCATAATTTCATCCGATTGACATAAACAGTTTTAATTTGCGCAAGGAATGTACACAAAATAGATTTGTCATCAAATTTAGCTGAATAATAACAACATATTATAACTCGCGAAAAAAATAATTTAATTTAAATAAACACAAAATATAACAAGTGCTAATAACCAATAACCAACATTATTTTCAAAACCATTGCAAATCCATTGTAACTAATACCATTTCAATTTTAATGGTGAGGATATATATATATATATATATATTCGTCTGAATATTATTAGTTCTATATACATCTTTATATATATATATATATATATATATATTGAAAAGAGTGAGACCTGATAATCACACTTTTCAATATATATATATATATATATATATAAATATATATATATATATATATATATAAAGATGTATATAGAACTGATAATACAACAAAAATCACTCACTGAAACCCAAACACAAATTGTGTGGAATATCGTACAATAGGTATTGCGAATATACGTTAAACAACGGTGAATTCACTCTAAATCGGCATCCAACTCTTGAATACCAGTATGTAGGGGTAATTGGTTTAGAGTAGAATAAGTTACTCGAACAGTTACATGCCTGGCCATGTATCAGTCCAGAAAAGTGTTAGTAAATGTCAAAGTGAAACAAGGGAAATCAGTTTAAATTGGATTAGTGAGTAATCATCTTTGATAATTCGTCTCAACGGATTACCGACGAATAAACTGGAGCTACCGGTTTGGGACCTTATTTTGGTGCAGATTGCGGTTCAGATGATGTTGCTTTCCTTCAACAGTATATAATGATTAGATCGGGACTTTGAAATGTGCCGGATTAGGGAGGGTTTCAGTTTACTGTATTGGTATTGCCATTCAAATATTGGTATTAATTGTACAACATTGGTATTGCAATATATGTATAACAAGTTTAATATTAGTATTACCAGAATAATATTGGTTTATCCAGTACAATATTGGTATTACAATTAAAATAACGGTAAAGTCATCAGTATAAGAATTACAGAAAAGGAATAAAAATTGCTACGTTGCTACGATTGCAATAACAGTATAACCATTAAAATTACGGTATAAACAATAAGACTTTGACGCAACTTTAGTCATAAAGAATATCGTCGATACCAGCAATTCCACCATGCTTTTGGTGAAGATGATCATAGCATTCACCAGCACTATTAAATTTGGCTGTACAAAGCCAGCAAAAATTAACTTTACAGGCATGACAAACTATATGGTTACATCCACGTTTTTTCTCAATTAGGACTGTACACTGAGGACAAGGTTTTACTGATTCAGCATGGCTTCTTAAATAGGCCTCGATTTGTTCTCTGTCCCTTTCTTGGGATTTGTACATAGCACATGACAGACCATCGTGGTATTCAATATGACAGGATGAACAGATCCTGATACCACATTCTTCACAAATATACTGGGTATTTTCTGTATTAGTTTTATAGATAACAGGACAATCCGGGGTTAGACAATGATGATATGTACCTCTTCCACTTTTCAACATAAATTTTGTTACAGCTGCTCCGACCAACGCCCGGGGGTCTATCTGGACTTTAGTAAAACTGTGCTTGAAATCAACCCAAGTAAACGGTTCTTGACAGGACTCTTCGCTGCAGAGAATTGGAAGATCCTTACTCTGTATAGCAACCTGTATTTGTTGCTTAAAGCAGTCAAGACAATAAGCATGGGAACAATTCTCTAATCGGTAAAGTTCTGCCAAACTGTCAATTGGACAAATACAAGCACAACATTCTGGTAGTTCATCCCTTGGCTCACCAGCAGCAGATTCATAATGGCAATTTTCAAGAAGAAGAGATTCAGACAAACCATCAATTAGTTGACAGGCTTTCTCCAAGGTTCCAGATTCACCAATGATCTTCACTGTTTGTCTTTTATGATTTAAAAGAATTGACTGTAGACCAGAATCTTCTACAAGTCTTTCTAGGTTTAACCCATATTGTTTCATCAGAGTTTTCATCAGACCTCTTGGACGTTCTGGAGCCCTCAAGTCGATCTCTTTCCCACTCCCATTCAATATATCATTCAGGTAGTTTTGTAATTCAATCTGAGCTGTAGTAAATTTGGCCATGGTTCCAAAAATGCTAATAGAATTCGTCCTTTCATCCATTCTGATCACTGTTTGAGATTTTTCTTCAACTTTTCGAACAAATTGTCGTCCCTGTCTGAGGAACAGATGGCGATAATTCTCATTTCTCCAGCATTCGATCACCTCCCCTTTCAAAATACCATCTAATATGGCTCTTGCCTGAGCTAAGTCTGAAGAGAATTTGCTGTACAGATTCAGAATCACTCGCCCGTTGTTCAATTCTTTTTCATGAAATTTGAAATCGAGAGTCTTATGAAGAGCCTCTACAGCTTCATCAATAGATGATTTCATGATATCATACACTTGTTGTGAAATGTTGATAGAAGATGATACATCTGGAATCATTGTAACTGGTTGATTATTAATTCTCATAACACCATTTAAACCTCTACAAGCCAGATAACCATCTTCTGCTGAAAAAAATTTAGCATAAGCTACAAAGTTTATGTCTGTATCCTTCTTAGGTTTCAATACATCTACAACAAATCCAGTTTGTCCATCAAGATAGTTGGAAATATACGTAGAAACTGCTCTTTTTATTTTGTCTATATCGTCGACACTGGTAGCTTGTACTTTTTCTCTCACTACAGATACCCTTTGAATATTGGCTTTTGCTTCTTCAGATATAAAACTCAAACTGTTACAAAGACTTTCTTTGATTTCAGCTTCTTTGGTATTTGGTGGCAAACGACGGAGGATCAAACCTGTTGAAGCATCATTGACGTCGATCTTCACTGCAATTCCTTTCACAGAAAACCAACCAAGACGAACAGCATCGGCAAGATGTAAAGGATTGACATCAACAAACGCCATGTTCTTTAAGGGTCTTCTTAACCATGTTAATCGAGATTTGAACTGGAACTCACGTCTTTCTGACTGTTTGATCTCTGGGATTGCTACATCCACATTATCGTTTTCAGTTTCCTTCACAGCAAGTCTAGCTGCTACATCTGAAGAAAATGTAACACGACCCCATCTACCATCTGATTTTTTATCTTCCCAACAATCTACAATTTCTCCAAATTTTGAAAATTTCTCCTTGATATTTTCCTTCGACGAAGTTTTACAATTGGGCTTTGTTATATATACAGAGCGGTAATCAAGGGGCATCAGAAGCAAAGTACCCTCTCCTCCTTTTCCCAGAACAATTCGAACTCCTCCAGTCCTGGTACGCTTAGAACCCAACTGAAATTCTTCTGTCTTCATTAAAACGGGCTGTATAGCTTCATGTCTCCATTTAGCAATTACCTGCTTGGCCGTTTCATTCAATGAAGAAGTATAGAATCTCACTTCACCTCTATCTCGATCAGCATCAATCATCACAATACAACCACAGATCTGTGTCAACATCTCTTCATATTTTCTTAATTTAGTAAATCGTGGACCAACAAACATAGAAAAAGAGCTTGATCCAAAATATTCTGTGTGGACAATCGAAATTCGTTTACTTTTTACGTTTTCTATATCAAAATGTAGTTTCATCATTCCTTGTATCCATTCTTCTCTGACTGGTGTGACGGTAGTAATAAAATCAGTTGACGTTCTTAAAACATTGCAAAATACCACCCACTCACTAGAATCATTTAAAACTTTGAGTGATGAAGACGGGTGAATAAAGACCTGCTGATCTAGACTTGGTACAAAATATCCAGCCTTTCGATGACCAGTAAAGTGAGCAATGTTTTCTGTGAAAGCTAACAGAATGATCTTTTGAAAACGTTCTGCTAGTCCTTTGTCTTGTGAAAATTCTTTCTTTACTTCGATTCCAAGTTCTCTCTTCAAAATACCTGATATTTCTGAAACGGTTTCAAAGACCCCTCGTATCACTTTGTTATTAACGTAATTGTCAAAGCACCATTTATTTCTCTTGTCGCCAGGCTGAGCAATCCACGCCTTGTACACTTCGAGTAGCGTAAAGCAATCACCTTGATGTTGACAGAATTGTGTTTTGACCAAATCGCTATTGTCCTTTTCACTATCAGATCCACCACGATAGAAAAGTGAACCACCAGAACTAATCAAAGACGCCAGAACTAAAGCATCATACACAAACCCTTTATCGAATCCTTTCTTGACAATTGAGCTCAATCTTGGTTCAAAGGGAACCTTGGCCAGCCAGTTACCATGGTCTGTTATCTTTCCATCTTCTACGGCATTCAACTGAACCAGAGTCTTCAAAGCTGAATCAAGAGCATCTTGAGATGGCGATTCTACGAAATCAGACTCAAAAGGATTAATACCAAATTGTAAAAGTTTTAATAAAGCCTGTCCCAGATGAACTCTTAATATCTCAGGAACATTGGATTTCTTCATATCATAGAAAGTTTGTTCTGTGTACAGTCGAAAACATTTCCCAGGAGCAGTTCTACCAGCACGACCTTTCCTCTGTTCGGCTGAACTTTGACTTATTACATTAACTGCCAAACAATTGATGTTTCTTTTGGCGTCAAAATTCATTTCTTTAGCCAAACCTGTATCAATTACATATTTGATTCCTTGGATAGTGATGGATGTTTCAGCTGTATTCGTTGCAAACACAATTTTTCTTTGGTTTTCTGGTAGAGGTTGAAACACGAGTTGCTGCTCTTGAATATTCAACTGTCCATGAAGAGTCAAGCATTTAAAACTATCGTTAGTTTTACCAAGTTTTGTTTCCAAACGTTCTTTACATTTCTCTGTCTCTAATGGTGTTGTCATAAATATAAGAATATCTCCAGGGCCTTCGTCTTTATGGACTTGAATGGCCATCTTTACTGCTTCCTCTTCATAATCATCCGTAGATTGTTCCTGTTCCGCTTTCCACACAACATCAACAGGGAACGTTCTACCAGCTACTTCTATAGGCATACTAGATTTGAAGTAGTTTGAAAATACTTGTATATCAATAGTAGCTGAAGATATGATAACTTTTAAATCTGGTCTATGTGGTAGACATTTCTTCACAATACTCAACAACAGGTCAGTGTAGATGCTTCGCTCATGAGCTTCATCAATAATTATCACAGAGAATTTGGTGAAGAGAGGATCTTTTAAACATTCGTTAAGCAGTGTATGATCAGTCATGAATAAAATCTTGGTATCTTTAGAAGTCTTTTGTTTTACCCCTGTTCTATAACCAACAGTTTTACCAAGATTAGACAACATTTCGGTTGATACTCTGTTAGCAAGGCTTACACAGGCAACTTTTCTAGGTTGGGTGCACACAACCATCTTATCCTTTAGCAAACCAGATTCAAACAAGTACTGGGCTATTTGGGTACTCTTTCCAGATCCGGTAGCACCTCTCAGGATGATAACTTGGTTGTTGGCAATACAGGATAATATATCTGATCTTCTAGCATAGATCGGTAAAGCTGTATCAAGACGGCAACATTCTATACTGAACTGTTTACTCAATTGTTGAATATATTCTTTAAAATTCTCAATATTTTCAGACTTGCTGATGTCAGCGGTAATCTTTTCGAAATAGTTTTGGTATTCCAATTTTTGTGACTTCAGTTCCTCCAACTTTACTTTGATAGCGTCTCGTTCGGCTACTTTTCTGTTGTATTCTTCAACGGATATATTGGGGCTGATGACGAATTCTTCTAATCTGTTATTTGCATCATTGATTTTAAGTTCATGATGTTCTATACGTTGTTTGGATTTGGTTTTGATACCAGAGAGAACCTGCTGTATCATTTCTCTTTTCGAGGTGGATTCTGTTGAGATTGGGATCAAGGAACAAACCACATTGGTTGGGCTGTTTGTGTTGCTCTCTTCCAACTGTCTGATTACTATGTCTGCTATGGCCTCACTTTGTACCTTAATTTCTATATTGGTTGAGGATCCATCTTCACTTAATACTGAGGAAACCAACTGAAATGGATAAATAGTTCCTGTACCCATCCGCGTTCTGATAAAACCCACAGCATCTTGGCTCTTCAATGCATCATCAATACTCAAATAAAGTGTCGTCTCATGTATTTCAGGTTTAGATTCTACCTTCTTTTTCTTTTTCGTTTTCTTTTTGGTTGCTTGGGCTGATTCCTGTCCTTTAGATGCTTCTTTTTCTTGAATTTTAGTCTTCTTTATCTTTTTCTCCAAATTAACATGGGCTAAATCATGATAAATGGGTGGTAAAAGATCCCTAGTGTAACATAAAACTTCAATTTCGGATGAGCTGTTGGTTTTCCTAAAATATTTTATCACTTTATTAGCTGAGGCTTTAGAGTGAAACAAACTTAAGACAACTTTGCTGTTGCCAGTTTTCATAATTGCTTGAATATCATACTCGATAGATGTGAGACTTCCAGTTCTAGATTTTAAATAGGCTCCATAATCAAAAGATTCGTCAGACTTTCCCTTGAATATAAAGAAAAGAAACGTTTCCTTCTTTTCAGTCTTAAGCGCTATTTTCTCGGGTTCTCTAGACACATCAGAACCAAATGAATCAAGTTCGCAGTCACCTTTACTGGATGTAGTACTGGACTCTCTTCTTCGTGCATCACGACCCTGGCCTCCTCCACGACCTTGACCTCTTCCACGACCTTGACCTCTTCCACGACCTTGACCTCTTCCACGACCTCGACCTCTTCCTTGAAAGATATCTTTTGAACCTTTGTATGCAAACTGTGGTGGAGTGCTTTGCCTCGACGAATTCTGAAAATGATAAGTAAAAGTAAGTAAAAGTTCCCGACTATCTTTAAGAGATTACAATGTTTTTTTTTCCTCAAGGGATCATAAAAGATATCCTTTATAAATTTCAGGGTGATTAACTTTTAGGATGAATTTAGATGATGCAAGTATTTTGAAGCATTATATAATAAACATGTATATGACTTATGTAGGACTAAAATATATAGCTAGGAGAATGAGATCAGAGCTCAGAAACGCGGCACATACAAAATGTACTATGAGAAAAAGCTATAAAGTTTTAGAATTATTCAGTAGGTAAAAATTGAAAGAATGAATTTATCATACATACCGAGGCTAAAGACTGATTTGATGTAGAATCGAGTCGTATCAGGTTTGTACCAAGTATAGGCATGTCAGGAAAAGCAGAATAGGGAGGTGGTGGTGGTGAAGTAAAACTCATAAGAGGTGGTACAGGATTTGACAGTAGAGGCTGTCCTGGAAGAGGCAGTGGAAATGATGGCTGATTATGAATCATTTGGTAACTGGGTGGTAGAGAATATTCACCAAAAATTGGTTGTTGCTGTTGTATCGCTGGTTTCCTTGAGTTGATGTCTTTATTATTCACATAAACATTAACAATAGTTGGTTCTTTACCAGTCTGCTTTGGGCTCTTTCTTCTATTTCTATTCGGACTATCAATATTTGGACTTGGTCTTCTATCATGGCTATATTCTCTATTTGGGCTATACCGTCTGTCGTGTCTATAATCTCTATTAGGGCTCTGTCTTCTATTTCTATGTGGACTTTCATGCCTATCATAGTCTCTATTTGGGCTATGTCTTCTGTCTTTTTTATAATCTCTACTTTGGCTATATCTTCCGTCTCGATTTGGGCTCTGTCTTCTATCTCTATTTGGACTATGTCTTCTATCTCTATTTGGACTATGTCTTCTATCTCTATTTGGACTATGTCTTCTATCTCTATTTGGACTATGTCTTCTATCTCTATTTGGACTATGTCTTCTATCTCTATTTGGACTATGTCTTCTATCTCTATTTGGACTATGTCTTCTATCTCCATTTGGACTATGTCTTCTATCTCTATTTGGACTTTGTCTTGTGTCTTGTCTATAATCTCTGTTATCATCATATCTATAGTCTCTATTTGGGCTGTCTCTTCTATCATATCTATAGTCTCTATTTGGACTATGTCTTCGGTATCTATTTGGGCTTTGTCTTCTATTTTGTCCATAATTCATGTCTCCATCTCGTGTTCTATAGTCCGGTCCATAATCTCTATCTCTTCGACTATCATTTCCATATAGATTGCTGTCTCTACTATCTGAAATACATGTTAACAATTTCCAAATTATATCGGCGCTCAAAAGTAATAGGGGGCTAAAAGGGAAAAGAAAATAACGATTCAAGATAAGTGAGATGACATAGGGTTTTTACCCTATAGAGGTTAATTTTGAGATTTGGTTTGGGTATAAGGGTGGGGTGGAAATGAAATGTTGGAGAAAATCACAAAAATAGTAAAGATTTAAAGGGGGAAGGGGATATTGAAATTAATCAAGATATCTGAAATGCTATTCTCGTGTACAATGTTTGATCTATAAATAAGTCTAGAAAAACACGTTGTATGGATACCGGGTGGTATAATTAACTTCTCTTAGTATTTATCTTTAATATCAATTCATTATAACTAGTGACAATTCCTTCAAAGAACCACGATTTTAAAAAAAAATTGGGACTGACAAAATATGATACGTAGCGTGATTTATTGCTAAAAGTCACTGAAACAACATAAGAATATGGCCCACTTTATGTTCCATAGAAATTTTCTGCTGACACAGAATCCGCTAGTTGATCACGTGACTTCATTCTTTGGACTACATTCTAGCAGACGACACTTGGAATTCCGATTACCGCTTGGGATTATAAGGAAATTCGGCCGATAAAAAATGGTGACGTTTGGTAATAACAGAAATCCGCCATTTTGTGTTTGTCAAAGTATACATTTATACACTTTACCTTGCTTGAAACTACTGGATTCATTCTACTAGCTGATATTGTAGAGAAATCCCATGTTTATCAAAACAAACTAATGCGGGGGTCGCGCACGGCTCATGTAAATTATTAATCCTTTCCGGAAATCCACGAATAATAGGTTTCCACGAAATTAGGTTACTTGACTGTACTGCAGGTATTTAGACTTTATGCAATAAAGAATTCTTTACCTTGTCTATGGAAATTTCTGCCTTCTTCGCGAAATCTATCATTTGGGTTCCCATGACCACCACGACCTCTGCTTGTGTGATTCTCACCGCCTCTACCTCTGCCCCCGCGGCTTTTGAAAGGAACAGAACCACCTTTGTTTGGTCTACTCATATCGTTTATAAAATTGTTCTTTGGGCAGTAATTCTGAAAAATAGTGATGAGATTCTTCAGTTACCATAAAGTTGATGTTAACATACCTCCACTGGCAGCTGTCGGAAATGATGCTAGTGTTTTTATTTACTAAAAATACCTTAAATTTTCTCATATTAAAAAATTGAAATTGAAAACATGAATGTATTAATATCTCAGCAAATCAATGTGGTGTATGAAAAATAATATGTATCTTTTATGTGAAAGTTGATTGCGTTATCACAACTACCGAATACATTCAGGGATACCCCCTGTTAATGTTGCTTCTAAGTCAAGATTAAGATGTAGCCTACGGTGGACTCACTCAGTAAACGAGGTTAAGTCAAAAAGTTTTTTTTGGCTCACCTTACTAATAAATATCGGAGATAGATAACTATGGTGACCTACCGCTATCATTCAAAATATTAAAATTAAATCATTTCCCCTAAAATTGCAAATAAAAATAAAAGTAAACCTAGATCAAACTGAAAGTTCATTTGATACAAAATGATTTAGAAAAAAAATATAAGAATAAAATGCTACATAAAAACGAAAGTAAAGAAAAGAGCCTACAGCTATATCACAGTATACAACGATGCATTGCGCACGGGTCGATTAATTTCAATGAATTAGCGATTTGTATCAAGGGGAAATCGCGTGATATGATTTAACGAAACCTCCTTTGTTAATGGCGGTCCAGTTATCATTTTATTCATTTTTTTTTCTTGCACTGTCACTAAACCAGACGAACCAAATCAAAGTACCCCGCCCTTGTAGATCACATCTGTCAAGGAACCAACACTAGCTCCACACTTTTTTTATTTGCTTTTTTTTTTTACTTTTGTTTTTATTAATTTTTTTATTCTAATTTTTTTTAGAATCGTTTTGAATTTTCATTTTGATCTAGATTTATTTTTATTTTCATTTGTATTTTTGAGGGGAAATGATTGGCCACCATAGATTTACCTTGTACCGGTATTGGGAGGAATTGCCTCTAAGGAAATTAACGTTCAATGTACATGCTCCGAATCATTCAATCATAAAACGTTGGTCAGCTACCAAACTCTTATGTATGAAACTTAATAGAGATGGGACTACGCTAATGTTTTATTTGGATGTATGAGATACTCTGGGAAAATGTGAAGTAATTTCATAACCTTTAAGGCACAAAATTCAGCCTTTTTTTTTACTTTGGGTCGATTTGACTTGTCCACATTTGTTATTGTATGTATGCTGTCTTCGACTTCAGCTGGGATCGTAAATATAGACCTGCGTATTTCTCATCAAGAAAGAATATAAAGCCTAATATCGATAGACATTGAAAGTAAGTATTTGCAATTTGTTGACATTCTAACACTAGATACATAAATTTACCTACCTTTTGAAAATATTTGGATTCATTGCGTTGTAGTCTCTCTATGAGCAGCCTGTATTCACCTGTTCTGTCTCGTTCCCATTTCGACGAATGCTATGCGCAATTCTTAGAATTATGACGTCGATTATCCAGACGTAATAGTTCGATAACCCATTCTGCTCAACCTTCGCAAATGTTAGTTTTCGTGAGATGAACATTGACAACTAGCAGCATTATTTATAGTCCCGAAGCTTACACGAGTTGTCGATAACCATAAATAGGATATCTATATTTAGTAGGCCTATTATACTCCCTGTTGATACATCCTTAAAGGATATCCCACAGTTGTCAAGTTTAACATTATTCATGCAATCTACACCATAATATTATTGTCCTTACTCAAAGTGTTGCTGTACCATGTACATTGTCATATGTCTATGACTCAGACCACAACAAATTCAGCATTGATGAATGTAGTCCGTGGTCTCATCCCTTTTTTAAGATGTTGCATGCCTGGTCCTTTTTGGTCTAGATTCGATTTTGATGTGTGAAATTTCTTATTGGGGGCAATATGAGGAAATTAGATTAGCTAATAACACAACTCAAAATATTTATAGTTATATAATTTAATAGATCAACTTTTTAACCAGACATTTAACCAATGTTCCAGATGTGACGTGAAGAAAAGCATTGAACGAGATTACTGGATAATATTATAGAAGGTTGAATTTCGTGGAAAAATTTTGTTTCTGACATAAAGGCCATGGTCCACCATTTCCGGAGGTCAATCGTATCTTCCTCTCAGAAACGGAAATTGTTAAGCTAAGCTAACCAGTAATGTTCCGAACGTTTATTATTCGTGTTTGGAGATTACATTGACGACTCGCCTTTTTGCACCATACTGTAGAACGGTTTAAACTGAATCAAAAACTATCCATAAGTAGGCTACACCGTATTTCTCTTTAAGGACCTTATTAACAATATGAACAATTTTCGGGTACGCCTACCCCAATTTACAGACAGATAATAAACTAGTAACAAAATAATAATAAAAATGAGAAATTCCTACATGGATATACTTTTGAAATTGTGAACTTTTCGTAGAGTTCTAGTACTTCTGAAGACTATTTACATAATTCAAGGCACAAAACAACCTCCGAAAATGGTGAACAGTGGCCTTTAAGTGAGTATATAAGACCTACGTATTATTTTCTACTTTTACTTTCACTTTGTTATATTTTACCTCTTATTATATCTTCTATTTCATAGCCTACATAGATAAACCGACCTATATTATATAGGACTATACTGACACTATCAGCTGGATATTTGAGAGTATTCAAAGATCAACGTCCAAAATAATAAACGTTCACCTGATACCGATATCCTGACGCAACTGAGTGTGATGACAACTTGCCGCTCTCAAATAACCTAAGACAAATGAGCTTCCCCATGCCTAGAGAGAAAAAAAACACCCATGGCCTTTTCAAAATCTGGCTACTTTGAAATATAAAGATCCAATGCTTGGCTTCACGCTTGTCACTGTAACTTAAGATCTTATAGAAAGCGCAAAGAGTTTATTTTCTGTAATAATAATTGAAATACAAGTATAGATGTGTTTCGATTTCAAAATTCTTATCGGCTTAGTCTAATCAATTCATCTTGGTATATGATTTGCTTTAAAGGGATTGTAAAGAGGTATTTATAAACTTAATAAATGTATCGGGGACAACTCCAGTCTGCCTGGTTCTGCCTCCGTCTGTGTCTCAGTTTTTGGTAGCCTTTGTCTTCAAATATGTTAATCAATCTGCAAGAATTTAATTCAATGAAAGCTGCTTTTTGGGCCTTTGGTCCTTAGGAGATTGAGTTAATGTTGAGTACAAACAGAACATGAGGTCAATTTATGTTTTCTGTTTCGAGAATTGTGAAAGTGGTAATTTATTGTGGTAGTAAACATAACATGCCCGAAGCATAATTACGTAATATTAGTCTGATATTGTTAGATTTCATCAATTATTTGTAGTTACTTCCCTTCCGTATCAACAAATTCCATATTTCTGCATCATGGACTTTCAAAAACAACTTGTGCATGATGCAGAAAATGGAAAGAGAAGTTTGACGGAACATCAAGTGTATTTACAAACTTATTACTGATTTATCAAGTTTACGAAAGGTAGGCTTTGGAGCACCTGGGTAACATATTATTTCGTGTTTGTTGAAAAATGAAATGTATCTTTATGACTTTTTTTTTTATATTTTGACGATTTTTTCCCGCTTTTTCTGGCCTGTTACATGCATTGACCATTGTATAGAAAAATAAAAATCTTGAAGATGGAAATTGTCTCGTAGTATTGATAATTTGTATGTAGTTGATTTTGGTTCTTTATCTTTTATAGTCAGAAACTTACTACACCTTGTCATTTATGTAAAATGTAATTATAACCACGTATTGGCGCGGATTTTGCTATTTCTATTCCCATTTTGACTAAAAGCGAAACTCGCACTTTTGATCTGAGATGTTCAACTGCTTTTTCATACTGAATGATTCATGTGGATAGAGGAACCCCCAATTATACCCCCATTTTATTTCTAAAAAATTTAAAATATGATTTTTATACTTTTTGCCCTCAAAAATGTGTCAGAATGCAGTAAATCAATTCTATGTTTCGTAACTATCACATGTTAAATGTACTTAATACTAATTAGTCCGACAAATCTGGCTCTACCCAGTTCCTCCGAAGAGATATTCGGATGGAATATCGAAACTGAGCTAATGTCGATTTTCATCGGCGTCGATATTTTTTAGGAATTTTCACCATTACAAAAGCCTAATTTGGCAGAATGTTTGGTGTCGAGGAGTAGGTTGAACTTACGGAGTTATACGAAGCATGGACAAACATATCCCTTGAATGTATTGTGGTACCGTGCGGGGCACAGAGGCATTGCAGGATGTTCGACAATATCTTGATCGACATACCAAAACTTATAATGTCTGGCCCTATACCCAATTCTGATATCTCATCCAAATATCACGTCGGAAAAACTGGGTTAATAATAATATACTAGATAATAGTCGTCAGAATACTCAATAAAGACTACAAATAACATTTTTAATCAAATAGTCTATGGTGCTCTATAAGTTGAAGGAAAGGACTTAGTGATCGGACAGACTGACGCTATTTTCCAAGAATCTTCGCATTATCAGGATCTCTTAACTTTAATTTAAATTCTTAATTATATTCAGACGAATTCTGCCCCTTGCCATGTCTACCAATGTCTTGACAAATGTAATTTTGTAAGAAAAGCAAACGATACATATGAATACTTCATGTGAAAACTTCATGCAAACGTGAAAGCACAATCGTAAGGAATAGTCGCAAAGGTTTTAAGTGGCAGTCATAAGTACATGTATATAAATAAGCTTTTCGTATTAAGCTAAGATTTTATTGTGATGCTATATAAGTAGGTTAACGTGATAACAAAGAAAGAAAAATCCATAACCAGAAAAACTAAACCTAATCCGATGAAGTGTGTATCTAATAGGACTTTAAATTAAGCTGAAAAATAACAAGTGATAACTCACGAAAATACAACAAGTGCTAATAACCAATAACCAACATTATTTTCAAAACCATTGCAAATCCATTGTAACTAATACCATTTCAATTGTAATGGTGAGGATGACAATAAAATGGTAATATTTCAATTACAGTAAGTATAAACTTTTATATATAATAACATTAACAGTATAACTATTACAAAAATATACTGACATTATTATGGTTTTACCGTTATAGTAATAGTTATACTGTTATTGTTATGGTTATACCGTTATTATAATAGTTATACTGTTATTGTAATTGTTATACTTTTATTGCAATGGCTATACTTTTATGTATAACCATTGCAATAAAAGTATAACAATTACAATAACGGTAAAACCATTACAACGACAGTATAACAATAACAATAACGGTATAACCATTACAACGACAGTATAACAATAACGGTATAACCATTACAACGACAGTATAACCATAACAATAACAGTATAACCATAACAATAACAGTATAACTATTATAATAAAAGTATAACCATTACAATAAAAGTATAACCATTACAATAACGGTAAAACCATTACAACGACAGTATAACAATAATGGTATAACCATTACAACGACAGTATAACAATTACCTTAACAGTATAACTATTATAATAAAAGTATAACCATTACAATAAAAGTATAACAATTACAATAACGGTATAACCATTACAACGACAGTATAACACGTACATTAACGGTATAACCATTACAATAACAGTATAACTATTATAATAAAAGTATAACCATTACAATAAAAGTATAACAATTACAATAACGTTAAAACCATTACAACGACAGTATAACAATTACATTAACCGTATAACCATTACAATAACAGTATAACTATTACTATAACGGTAAAACCATAATAATGTCAGTATAAATATTACAATACCTATTACAATAACGGTATAGCCATAATAATGTCAGTATAACTCTTACAATAACGGTATAACTATAACAATGGCAGTATAACTATTACAATAACGGTATAACAATTACAATAATGATAAAACTATTACAATAACGGTGTAACCATAACAGTATATGGCAGTATAACTATTACACTAACGGTAGAACAATTACCATAACGGTATAGCCATTATGATCAAAGTATAACCATAATGTCAGTGTTACTAATACAATAACAGTATAACCATTACAATAATTGTATAACCATAACCATAACAGTATAACTATTACAATAACTGTATAACCATAACAATAACAGGATAACCATTACAATAACGGTACAACCATAATGATGTCAATATAAATATTACAACAACTATACAATAACGGTATAGCCATAACAATGTCAGTATTATAACTATTACAATAACGGTATAACTATTACAATAATGATAAAAGTATTACAATAACGGTGTAACCATAACAGTATATGACAGTATAACTATTACACTAACGGTAGAACAATTACCATAACGGTATAACCATAACAATAACAGTATAACTATTACAATAACAGTATAACCATAATGATATCAGTATTAATGTTACAATACCTATTACAATAACGGTATAGCCATAATGATATCAGTATTAATGTTACAATACCTATTACAATAACAGTATAACCATAATGATATCAGTATTAATGTTACAATACCTATTACAATAACGGTATAGACATAATGATATCAGTATAAATATTACAATACCTATTACAATAACGGTATAGCCATAATAATGTCAGTATAACTCTTACAATAACGGTATAACTATAACAATGGCAGTATAACTATTACAATAACAACATAACCATTACTTTGACGGTGTAACCATTACATTAACAATATAACAATTATTACAATTACGGAATAACAAAAACAATCACAATATAACTATTATAATAACAGTATAACTATTATAGTAACAGTATAACCATAACAATGACAGTATAACCATTACTATAACAGTTTAAATGTATAACAATAACTGTAGGACGATTACTGCACAGTCATCAGAATAGTGGAATGTAAATCACAACCTATAAAACTGACAATACATCAAAAATCACTTACTAAAACTAGACTTTGTTAAAATTTCAGAAGGAGAAGAGAAAGAGAATAAAAAGTAGAAAGGAAGAGAAAGGAACGAATAAAAAACAAATAAAACTAGACAAAAATTGTTAAATCCTTACAATAGGTATTGCAAATACGTTACACTACAGTTTATTCACTCTATACCGGCATGCAACCGGATTAACGTAGAATACCGGTTTGTAGGGGTAATCGGTTAAGAGTGGAATAGTTTACTCAAAACAGTTACATGCCTTGTCAAGCATGAGTAATTGACAATGGAGTAATGTTCAATCATTGAAACAATGGAAATCGATTTAAACTGGATTAGTAATTAATCCTAGTTCCTTTAATATTTTTTTAAGTATTGGATTCATTTTGAAATGTCACCATTACTTTTCATGTCGTCAACGGATTACCGATAAATAATCTGGAGTTGCCGGTTTATAGAGACCATCTTGATGCCAGATTGCGGTTTAGATGGTGTTGGTTAATTTGGGGTTTCAGTATAGTTATAGTTATTCCGTCGGGACTTATGTCGGTTTAGAGGGAATATCGATTTGGAGGGGTTTAACTATATAGGTATTACCATTACAACATTTGTATTACCATTACAACATTTGTACTACCATTATAAAATTGGTAATACTATTACAATATTGGCATTACTAGTACAACATTGGTATGACAATATAAGTTTAATATTAGTATCAGCAGAATAATATTGGTTTATCCATTACAATATTGGTATTACTAGTTTTTTTTTTGAATTTTCAAGTTAGTATGTTGAATTTTCAAGTTAGTAACTTGAAAATTCGAGATACTAACTTGAAAATTCAAGATACAAACTTGAAAATTCAAGTTACTAATTTGAAAATTCAAGTTACTAACTTGAAAATTCAAGTTTCTAACTTGAAAATTAAAAAAAAATAAATTGAATGGCCCTAATACGCTTCCGTAATATTAGTATTACTAGTACAACATTGGTATTACAATATATGTATAACAAGTTTAATATTAGTATTACCAGAATAATATTGGTTTATCCAGTACAATATTGGTATTACAATTAAAATAACAGTAAATCCATTAGTATAGGAATCACAGAAAAGACATATAAATTACAGTAACATTGCTACGATTGCAAAAACAGTACAACCATTAAAATTATGGTATAAAAAATAAGACTTTGATAAGATTTTTAGTCATAAAGAATATCGCCGATATCAGCAATTCCACCATGTTTTTGGTGAAGATGATCATAGCATTCATCAGCACTAACAAATGTGGCTGTACAAAGCCAGCAAAAATCAACTTTACATGCATGACAAACTATATGGTTACATCCACGATTTTTCTCGATTGGGAATTCACACTGAGGACAAGGCTTTATTGTATCAGCATGGCTTCTTAAATACGCCTCGATTTCTTCTTTGTCCCTTTCTTGAGATTTGTACATAGCACATGACAGACCATCGTGGTATTCAATATGACAGGATGAACAGATCCTGATACCACACTCTTCACAAATATACTGGGTATTTTCTGTATTAGTTTTATAGATAACAGGACAATCCGGGGTTAGACAATGATGATATGTACCTCTTCCACTTTTCAACATAAATTTTGTTACAGCTGCTCTGATCAACGCCCGGGGATCTATCTGGACTTTAGTAAAACTGTGCTTGAAATCAACCCAAGTAAACGGTTCTTGACAGGACTCTTCGCTGCAGAGAATTGGAAGATCCTTACTCTGTATAGCAACCTGTATTTGTTGCTTAAAGCAGCCAAGACAATAAGCATGGGAACAATTCTCTAATCGGTAAAGTTCTGCCAAACTGTCAATTGGACAAATACAAGCACAACATTCTGGTAGTTCATCCCCTGGCTCACCAGCAGCAGATTCAGAATTATTAGCATAATGAAAAGTTTCAAGAAGAGAATCAGACAGACCATCAATTAGTTGACAGGCTTTCTCCACGGCTCCAGATTCACCAATGATCTTCACTGTTTGTCTTTTATGATTTAAAAGAATTGACTGTAGACCAGAATCTTCTACAAGGTTTTCTAGGGTTAACCCATATTGTTTGATCAGAGTTTTCATCAAACCCCGTGGACGTCTTGGACCCCTCAAGTCTATCTCTTTCCAACCCCCATTCAATATATCATTCCGGTAGTTTTGTAATTCCATCTGAGCTGTGGCAAATTTGGCCATGGGTCCAAAAATTCTAATAGAATTTGTCCTTTCATCCATTATGATCACTGTTTGGGTTTTTTCTTCAACTTTTTGAACAAACTGTCGTCCATGTCTAAGGAACAGATGGCGATAATTCTCATTTCTCCAGCATTCAATCACCTCCCCTTTCAAAATACCATCTAATATGGCTCTTGTCTGAGCTAAGTCTGAAGAGGATTTGCTGTATAGATTCAGAATCACTCGCCCGTTGTTCAATTCTTTTTCATGAAATTTGAAATCGAGAGTCTTATGAAGAGCCTCTACAGCTTCATCAATAGATGATTTCATGATACGATACACTTGTTGTGAAATGTTGATAGAAGATGATACATCTGGAATCATTGTAACTGGTTGATTATTAATTCTCATAACACCATTTAAACCTCTACAAGCCAGATAACCATCTTCTGCTGAATAAAATTTAGCATAAGCTACAAAGTTTATGTCTGTGTTCTTCTTCGGTTTCACAACATCTACAACAAATCCAGTTTGTCCATTAACATAGTTCGAAATATACACAGAAATTGCTCTTTTTATATTGTCTATATCGTCGACACTGGTAGCTTGTACTTTTTCTCTCACTACAGATACCCTTTGAATATTGGCTTTTGCTTCTTCAGATATAAAACTCAAACTATTACAAAGACTTTCTTTGATTTCAGCTTCTTTGGTATTTGGTGGCAAACGACGGAGGATCAAACCTGTTGAAGCATCATTGACGTCGATCTTCACTGTAATTCCTTTCAGAGAAAACAACCAAGATGAACAGCCTCGGCAAGATGTAAAGGATTGACATCAACAAACGCCATGTTCTTTAAGGGTCTTCTTAACCATGTTAATCGAGATTTGAACTGGAACTCACGTCTTTCTGACTGTTTGATATCTGGGATTGCTACATCGACATTATCGTTTTCAGTTTCCTTCACAGCAAGTCTAGCTGCTACATCTGAAGAAAATGTAACACAACCCCATCTACCATCCGGTCTTTTATATTCCCAACAATCTACAATTTCTCCAAATTTTGAAAATTTCTCCTTGATATTTTCTTTCGACGAAGTTTTACAATTGGGCTTTGTTATATATACAGAGCGGTAATCAAGGGGCATCAGAAGCAAAGTACCCTCTCCTCCTTTTCCCAGAACAATTCGAACTCCTCCAGTCCTGGTACGCTTAGAACCCAACTGAAATTCTTCTGTCTTCATTAAAACGGGCTGTATAGCTTCATGTCTCCATTTAGCAATTACCTGCTTGGCCGTTTCATTCAATGAAGAAGTATAGAATCTCACTTCACCTCTATCTCGATCAGCATCAATCATCACAATACAACCACAGATCTGTGTCAACATCTCTTCATATTTTCTTAATTTAGTAAATCGTGGACCAACAAACATGGAAAAAGAGCTTGATCCAAAATATTCTGTGTGGACAATCGAAATTCGTTTACTTTTTACGTTTTCTATATCAAAATGTAGTTTCATCATTCCTTGTATCCATTCTTCTCTGACTGGTGTGACGGTAGTAATAAAATCAGTTGACGTTCTTAAAACATTGCAAAATACCACCCACTCACTAGAATCATTTAAAACTTTGAGTGATGAAGACGGGTGAATAAAGACCTGCTGATCTAGACTTGGTACAAAATATCCAGCCTTTCGATGACCAGTAAAGTGAGCAATGTTTTCTGTGAAAGCTAACAGAATGATCTTTTGAAAACTTTCTGCGAGGCCTTGGTCTTGTGAAAATTCTTTCTTTACTTCGATTCCAAGTTCTCTCTTCAAAATACCTGATATTTCTGAAACGGTTTCAAAGACCCCTCGTATCACTTTGTTATTAACGTAATTGTCAAAGCACCATTTATTTCTCTTGTCGTCAGTCTGAGCAATCCACACTTTGTACACTTCGAGTAGCGTAAAGCAATCACCTTGATGTTGACAGAATTGTGTTTTGACCAAATCGCTATTGTCCTTTTCACTATCAGATCCACCACGATAGAAAAGTGAACCACCAGAACTAATCAAAGACGCCAGAACTAAAGCATCATACACAAACCCTTTATCAAATCCTTTCTTGACAATTGAGCTCAATCTTGGTTCAAAGGGAACCTTGGCCAGCCAGTTACCATGGTCTGTTATCTTTCCATCTTTTACGGCATTCAACTGAACCAGAGTCTTCAAAGCTGAATTAAGAGCATCTTGAGATGGCGATTCTACAAAATCACCCTCAAAAGGATTAATACCAAATTGTAAAAGTTTTAATAAAGCCTGTCCCAGATGAACTCTTAATATCTCAGGAACATTGGATTTCTTCATATCATAGAAAGTTTGTTCTGTGTACAGTCGAAAACATTTCCCAGGAGCAGTTCTACCAGCACGACCTTTCCTCTGTTCGGCTGAACTTTGACTTATTACATTAACTGCCAAACAATTGATGTTTCTTTTGGCGTCAAAATTCATTTCTTTAGCCAAACCTGTATCAATTACATATTTGATTCCTTGGATAGTGATGGATGTTTCAGCTGTATTCGTTGCAAACACAATTTTTCTTTGGTTTTCTGGTAGAGGTTGAAACACGAGTTGCTGCTCTTGAATATTCAACTGCCCATGAAGAGTCAAGCATTTAAAACTATCGTTAGTTTTACCAAGTTTTGTTTCCAAACGTTCTTTACATTTCTCTGTCTCTAATGGTGTTGTCATAAATATAAGAATATCTCCAGGGCCTTCGTCTTTATGGACTTGAATGGCCATCTTTACTGCTTCCATTTCATAATCATCACTAGATTGTTCCTGTTCCGTTTTCCACACAACATCAACAGGGAACGTTCTACCAGCTACTTCTATAGGCATACTAGATTTGAAGTAGTTTGAAAATACTTGTATATCAATAGTAGCTGAAGATATGATGACTTTTAAATCTGGTCTATGTGGTAGACATTTCTTCACAATACTCAACAACAGGTCAGTGTAGATGCTTCGCTCATGAGCTTCATCAATAATTATCACAGAGAATTTGGTGAAGAGAGGATCTTTTAAACATTCGTTAAGCAGTGTATGATCAGTCATGAATACAATCTTGGTATCTTTAGAAGTCTTTTGTTTTACCCCTGTTCTATAACCAACAGTTTTACCAAGATTAGACAACATTTCGGTTGATACTCTGTTAGCAAGGCTTACACAGGCAACTTTTCTAGGTTGGGTGCACACAACCATCTTATCCTTTAGCAAACCAGATTCAAACAAGTACTGGGCTATTTGGGTACTCTTTCCAGATCCGGTAGCACCTCTCAGGATGATAACTTGGTTGTTGGCAATACAGGATAATATATCTGATCTTCTAGCATAGATCGGTAAAGCTGTATCAAGACGGCAACATTCTATACTGAACTGTTTACTCAATTGTTGAATATATTCTTTAAAATTCTCAATATTTTCAGACTTGCTGATGTCAGCGGTAATCTTTTCGAAATAGTTTTGGTATTCCAATTTTTGTGACTTCAGTTCCTCCAACTTTGCTTTGATAGCGTCTCGTTCGGCTACTTTTCTGTTGTATTCTTTAACGGATATATTGGGGCTGATGACGAATTCTTCTAATCTGTTATTTGCATCATTGATTTTAAGTTCATGATGTTCTATACGTTGTTTGGATTTGGTTTTGATACCAGAGAGAACCTGCTGTATCATTTCTCTTTTCGAGGTGGATTCTGTTGATATTGGGATCAAGGAACAAACCACATTGGTTGGACTGTTTGTGTTGCTCTCTTCCAACTGTCTGATTACTATGTCTGCTATGGCCTCACTTTGTACCTTAATTTCTATATTGGTTGAGGATCCATCTTCACTTAATACTGAGGAAACCAACTGAAATGGATAAATAGTTCCTGTACCCATCCGCGCTCTGATAAAACCCACAGCATCTTGGCTCTTCAATGCATCATCAATACTCAAATAAAGTGTCGTCTCATGTATTTCAGGTGTAGATTCTACCTTCTTTTTCTTTTTCGTTTTCTTTTTGGTTGCTTGGGCTGATTCCTGTCCTTTAGATGCTTCTTTTTCTTGAATTTTAGTCTTCTTTATCTTTTTCTCCAAATTAACATGGGCTAAATCATGATAAATGGGTGGTAAAAGATCCCTAGTGTAACATAAAACTTCAATTTCGGATGAGCTGTTGGTTTTCCTAAAATATTTTATCACTTTATTAGCTGAGGCTTTAGAGTGAAACAAACCTAAGACAACTTTGCTGTTGCCAGTTTTCATAATTGCTTGAATATCATACTCGATAGATGTGAGACTTCCAGTTCTAGATTTTAAATAGGCTCCATAATCAAAAGATTCGTCAGACTTTCCCTTGAATATAAAGAAAAGAAACGTTTCCTTCTTTTCAGTCTTAGGCGCTATTTTCTCGGGTTCTCTAGACACATCAGAACCAAATGAATCAAGTTCGCAGTCACCTTTACTGGATGTAGTACTGGACTCTCTTCTTCGTGCATCACGACCCTGGCCTCTTCCGCGACCTTGTCCTCTTCCACGACCTTGACCTCTTCCACGACCTCGTCCTCGAGCTCTTCCTTGAAAACCATCTTTTGAACCTTTGTTTGGAAACTGTGGTGGAGTGCTTTGCCTCGACGAATTCTGAAAAATGTTAAGCATAAGGCTAAGTTCCCGACTAACTTTAAGAGATTAGAATGTTATTTTTTTTATTGTACTTTAAGGGGTCATAAACAAATATCCTTCATAATTTTTTGTGTAATTAATTTTAAGGATGCATTAGGAAGATGCCAATATGTTTTGAGTATTTATATACATGTATATGATTTATCTATAGCTAGGAAAACGAAATCAGAGCTCAGAAACGCGTCACATACAAAATGTACTATAAGAAAAGCTATAAAGTTTTAGAATTATTCAGTAGGTAAAAATTGAAAGAATGAATTTATCATACATACCGAGGCTAAAGACTGATTTGATGTAGAATCGAGTCGTATCAGGTTTGTATCATGTATAGGCATATTAGGAAAAGCATAATAGAGAGGAGGTGGTGGTGAAGTAAAACTCATAAGAGGTGGTACAGGATTTGGCAGTAGAGGCTGTCCTGGAAGAGGCAGTGGAAATGATGGCTGATTATGAATCATTTGGTAACTGGGTGGTAGAGAATATCCATCAAAAATTGGTTGTTGCTGTTGTCTATTATCTCGCCTATAGTCTGTATTTGGTTTGTTGCTTCTATTATGCATATAGTCTCTATTTGGACTATGTCTTCGATCTCCATTTGGGATCTGTCTTGTGTCTTGTCTATAATCTCTGTTATCATCATATCTATAGTCTCTATTTGGGCTGTCTCTTCTATCATATCTATAGTCTCTATTTGGACTATGTCTTCTATCTCTATTTGGACTTTGTCTTGTGTCTTGTCTATAATCTCTGTTATCATCATATCTATAGTCTCTATTTGGGCTGTCTCTTCTATCATGTCTATAGTCTCTATTTGGACTATGTCTTCGGTATCTATTTGGGCTTTGTCTTCTATTTTGTCCATAATTCATGTCTCCATCTCGTGTTCTATAGTCCGGACCATAATCTCTATCTCTTCGACTATCATTTCCATATAGATTGCTGTCTCTACTATCTGAAATACATGTTAACAATTTCCAAATTATATCGGCGCTCAAAAGTAATAGGGGGCTAAAAGGGAAAAGAAAATAACGATTCAAGATAAGTGAGATGACATTTAAAAAAAAATCAGGTGTTTTTACCCTATAGAGGTTAATTTTGACATTTGGTTTGGGTATAAGGGTGGGGTGGAAATGAGACGCTTTGTAGTTCAACATCAAAAAAATATTGACAATATTAATTCAAATTGTTCTATTCAATCAGGTTATATTCTCCGAAATCAAAAAGATGGAGGGAAAATCTTGGAGAAAATCACAAAATAGTAAAGATTTAAAGGGGGAAGGGGATACTGAAATTAATCAAGATATCTGAAATGTTGTGAACAAAATCCTTATCGCTACTGCCGCTACTTCATAACTTTAATCAACTTGGTTACCAACCATATCTCAGGTGATTTATTATCAAAAATACTGCAGGTATTTATACTATATACAATAAAGAAATCATTACCTTGTCTATGGAAATTTCTGCCTTCATCGCGAAATCTATCATTTGGGTTCCCATGATCACCGCGATCTCTGCTTGTGTGGCTCCTACGACCCCGTCCTCCACCTCTGCCACCACGGCTGTTGCCAGGACAGAACTGTGCACCTTTGTTTGGTCTACTCATATCGTTTACCAACTTGTTTTTGGGGCAGTAATTCTGAAATACAGTGATGAGATTCTTGGAAATGTCGGAAATGTTGCTAGTGTTTTTATTGACTTCAATACCTATATTGTCATTAAAATACTTGAAAGTCCCCCTTTGTGTATAATTCGTCACCAAATTCCCTTGATTACAAATTTCACCCCCGAGAATTTCGACCTTACCCCTGGGGGTGCATATGGATCCCGATTGAGAAGCACTGGTCTACATTCAGGAATAGCACAGTTAATGCTGCTTTATAGACAAGGTCTAGAAGTAAGGTAGACTCAGTATACGCGGATTGGTCAAAAAAGGTTTTGGCCAACCTAACTTACAATTATCGCACATAGATAACCATATACCTTGTATTGGAAGGAAGGAATTGCCCTTAAGGAAATCAATATTCAAGTCACATGCTCCATCAAACAGGTAGGCCATTTTTCACCAATCATACTTTAATATTTCTCAGACACGGAAATTTTTTTAGCTATGCCAATCGGTTATAGTTTTTCAAAGCTCACCGTCGAAATTTGAGCCTTCAAATCAATGTTATCCGCGATTGAATGTTAAAATGACGACTCGTCAATTTCAGATACTCTGTGGTATATAGAAAATACGTATATATATAGTAGAAGTGAGTAAAATTCCTAGATTTTCGTACATTTCAAGTACTTCTGAAGACTATTTACATATTTTCAAGATTAAAATCAACCCCCAAAAATGTCACACATATACCTTTAATCTGCCCTTCGTGACAAACGCTATGCTGTGAATATTTTTTTAGAGTGACCCCAGAGAAGTTTTTTTTCTGTAAAGAGTTCGATATAAGAAGTATCTTAAGAAAAGTGATTATATGGAAAATAAACCAGTAAAAGGTTTCACAGATATTGAATTGTGGTCCTAAAACTGTGTGCTACAGGCTGTGTACATGAAGTCCCTCGACAGTTTGAAATCGAAAAAGAGCAGATCGCTCTCCGACATGGCCCTATTTGCGCATTTAGCCTTATTAGCATTAGGTGCAGAAACGTTGGACCTTTAATTTTATTCATTCTAAAACTTTTTGAACTACCCTCGTATGCCTACGGCTACTCAAAAGGTGGGCAAATTGTCTTCAGTATGAATGTGCCAACTTTTAACCTATATTATATTTAACCTAATATGGTGCCCTTTCAAAATATACAAAGCAGTGAGAATTTTGTACGATAAAATCTTATTAAAAAACTGACGTTCACTTTATATTTAAGATTGGGGAAGTGACCCTTAATATGATATCTTATATCTTGTTTAACCTAATATCACGCCCTTTCAAAATATATAAGGCTCAACAATTGTATGATGGGTCGTATTTCATGCCCGAAATTGTAATTCTCAATGGAAAAGCAGAAGGACGGAGAATTTGCTTGTGAAAAATGATAAAAATTTGAACTTTCTTTTGAAGGAATTGTGTGATTTTCGTACATTTCTGATACTTCTGAAGACTATCTACATAAAATATTCAAGGCACAAAACAACCTCCGAAAGTGGTAAACCATTGCCTTTGTAGCGAGTATACAAGGCCTACGTATGATATTCTACTTTTGCTTTCAAATTGTTATATTTTATATATACACAACTCTTTAATACGGGACTTATGAATGTGCCCATGACAGTGATTGATTAAAGCGTTTGAGCTTGTTGATATTACTATTTTGAATTGGCGGCTGTAAATATGCGACCGGCTTGACAGCTCGAATCGGCGGCTGCGCAAAAGGGGTCAGATTGTCTTCAGTTGGTCGCTGGGCCAAGCTTAGAATCAGGAAATCATAAAATAAATACAGCATCTACTACTGATCGGCCAGCCACCCCAAAAATAGAATAATGCATATCAATCGGAGATATGACGAGAGGTGTGATATCTAATCAACAATGAATATAATACAAAGCCTATTACAATGGACAATTCTAACATTAAATAAACAAGTTTACCTACCTAAACTATTCATAATAGATGTAGTTTTTCTTTGATCAGGCTGTGTTCATCTGTCTCGTTTCAATTTCGACAAATTATAATGCTATGCGTATTTCTTAGAATTCTGACGTAAAATTTCGGGTAGGTCTACACCCAAAGAATAAACTAGTGAAAAAGATAAAACTTTGAACTTTTACTTTTACTTTCAATTTATTAGGGTATACCTCTTTTTATAATCTTAAAAGTAGGACGTAAAACTCCATTCATTTTATTTCATTTCATTTTTTATAATCATATGGACTCAGACCACTAAAACTTTTTATGCAAAAGAATTTAGTCCGTGCGATTTCAAAACATATATATATGTTTTTGCATGCCCATTTTGGTAAATTTTCTATCTTGAATTCAAAAATCAATGTACAAGTAGAACATGAAGCAAAATTTATGTTATTTGTTTTGAGAATGGTGAAGATGAAAACTTGTTGTGATAGTGACACTATTGAAGACCTACTGCTATAATAGTAACATGAAGCGTTGAAGTAGGAGTCGTATATACGGCTCTGGTTGAGTATTGTAACTTAATATTAGTCTGATATTGTTAGATTTCAATTAATATTTGTAGTTACTTCCCTTCTGTATCAAAAAATCCCCTATCATTCATATGACTGATGTAGAAAATGGAAAGATAGATTTGAAAGGGTCATTTCTCAAGTATGATTATCAACTTGATTTATATAGAATTCCCCAATGAAGGGTATACTGCTTATAGTGTAAAGTACATGTATAATGGTCAAACCGTTATTGGTTTTCAATGCAATGCAATATTAAAAACCTATAGCCACTTGTGCGGTTCGACTTTTATTGCAAACTATTTCGTTTACTGTTTTAATTGGAATAGCCTACTAACTATAAAGTACCACATCAATTGCAACAAATAATTCATAGTATTTAGATAGTAGATAGCAAACAGGTTAATTTCTTGTTGACTAATGGTAGGCTCAGGAGCACCGATGGTTTTATTTGGTGTTTGGTGAAAAGTGAAATCTACCTTTTTTATATTTTCAGGATTCATAACAAACATTGACCATTGTATAGAAAAATAAAAATCTTGAAGATGAAAATTGTCTCGTAGTATTGATAATTTGTATGTGGTTTGCTTGATTTTGGTTCTTGTATAGTCAGAAACTTACTACACCTTGTCTCTCATCTGGAAAATGTAGTGTTAACCATATATTGGCGGGATTGCAGCATTGCTAATATCAAGGATCAAGGATTTTAATACAATGGGTCGTGAATATGAATACGCGGCGACATCTAGCATACAATATTCTCGAATCACACATTTTTCATTCTTTTTGTCTGTTTTAAGATGGTATTGGTATCACAATTCATCCACGAAATTCCATAATTTCGTCGACCATTATACTTTGCATTATAAGCAGTATACCTTTCATTGCGGCAGTTCGTTTTAAATATATACGTTGATTTTCATTCCCCTAATCCGAGATGAACACATTAGCCAATTTAGGCAGTTGTATATTGATAGCCCGAAAAATCTGGCCCTATCTGGTTCCTCGGACGTGATATACGGATGGGATCACACGGCACCAATATACAGGCGAGGGTTAGGATTAGTTTACGTAGAAGGAAAAATTCCTAACACTCGACAGTTTTGAGGTACGGTGTGAGGCATTGGGGCATTGTATATTCGATAATGCCTTGATGGAATTGCAATTTGGCTTGTAACAGGGTGGAAATTCTCAAAAACTAGCGGCCCCAATGTGGGTCGGAGCAACTCGTTTTATGTGCCGATATCCCATCAGTATATTATGTCTGGGCGACGGGTAGGGCAAGATTGTGATGACTAAAGTAGATGTTGCTAGCTTGGAAGCTAAGGAATGACCAGGGAACATATAATCAATTTGCGACTTTCATATATACGTATACATATACATATATATACATGCATTATTGTCATTGATAAATCTTTTGCATAGTAGTAATGTCTACGTCTTTACATTCACTCGGTCGGACGCGGGAGCGTCACACTTCTGGATGCAAGAAGATGAAAATTCGTTCAAGGTCTTATAAATACACATGACTTTATTCATACCAATTTACAATATAATATTAATATTAATCTCATTTTATTTTAAATAAAACATACCCCGGTAACTGGTGTTAAATAGATACCATCTTCGATACACCAGGGGTTACCTGGTTCCTTATTCCAAGTAACAATATTGTTACCTTACTTTGTGTCAATTATCAATTTAAATGCTGAGTAGGAGTTGTATTAAATACATCTAGATTAGATTATAATTTCTCAGGCCGCCCAGAAACCCTGAATTTTTATACCAAAGAAATGACAGGTATGTTTTCAAAATCCTGTTTAAATCTCAATGTACGTTGTTGAAATATTTGGATTAAAATTAACATGAAACGAAAATGTTCATCAAAAAAAAAAATGAATGAAATTGGTTTTTTATGCTGTGGCTGTTTTGTCTTCTTTTTCTACTGTTTGGTCCCTTTTGCCGAAACGCATAAATCTTTTTTCCTGCTCGCCGTCCCTCTTTCCAAAGCGCATAAATCGTTTTTCCTGTTCGCCTTCTCTCTTTCCAAAGCGCATGAATCGTTTCTCCTCTTCACCATCTCTCTTGCCGAAACGCATGAATCGTTTACCAAAGCGCATGAACCTCTTCTGTTCTTCAGGTTCATATTCTGGGTCATCAATGTCACGTCCAAATCTCATGAATCTGAAATGTATTTCAATTTTATTCATTTTAAATAAATAACAGGCGTTTCACTGACAATTTTCAGATTAAAATTACGTAAGAAATTGATTAATCAAAACGAATTGTGGTTCTTCTTAAGGTGCAAAAGAACAAAGTTCCGATGGCCAATGGTGCTGTACTTTGTGTGATTATTGACACAGCTGAAGAAGCAAATCGGACCCGAAACTCGTTTGTCTGCTTCTTTTAGTTTCTATTGTATCTATCTGGTGCGGACCATACAGCGCACTTCGTCTATTCGAACATTTAAACTTATTTCAAACATTCGCTATAATGTTTTGCCGTTCGAGTTGAATTTTGAATGGGAAAAGTTTTCAATACAAATACGTCTTAAGCAAATGTCGGATATCAATTGATCAATTATCAATGTCCAGACAAGAATTCATTCATGCATAACAAACGCCATTGTTATTCTATGATATGCACAGTAAAATACAATAAAACGCCAATAACCGTTGAATTCAATAATTTATGAAGGTCTGTTCGTCTCATCCTTCCCATGCCACAATTCCATAAGATCGAATGGCTTTTTTGAAAGAACTATTTCTCGGTGTTACCTTTTGCCAAATCGCATGAACCTTTTATCATAAGAATCAATATTATCAACATCTTCGTCATCCAAACTTTGTGTTTCAACTGATTTACCAAATCTCATAAATCGTTTCTCATCTTCGCCATCTCGTCCAAACCTCATAAACCTATAAAATACATGTTCAATTCTTAATAATATTGACTCCGAAGGTACATATAAGTTACATAATAACATTCTCTAATTATAGGTATGCAGATCCACAAACATTAATAAGGAAGACATGAAATGTGTCCAGCAGTCATGATGGAAAAGAGCGATTCGCTAATAAAGTCTTTCTACACTTGCACTCGACACTCGACAATTTATAAAAATAGATGAAGTAATCTGTATGTCTATAGCCCTTTAAAGGTTAGTATATATGTCAAACTCCACGAAGTTTAACCAAACCAAGCAAGTTATATGTTTAACTGATTGCTTCGGTTAAACAGAAGCTCGGTAGTTTTTTGCTACTGTCCGTTGGTATATTTGAGCCATGTTTTGTTAAAAACTGCTTTGTACTTTTTAGTACCTACTACAGCTATACACGCAATTGATGACACCAACTACCGTACAACAATGAAAGACAGAGACAGAAATGCTGGTAGACAAACCTTTTGTTATTATCAATGCTTTTACCAAATCTCATGAATCTCTTGTCGGGATCTCGGCCGAATCTCATGAACCTTTTTTCCTCCTCGCCATCTCGTCCAAATCTCATAAATCTTTTGCCGAAGCGCATGAATCTCTTTTCTTCTTCACCATCACGTCCGAATCTCATGAACCGCTTTTCAGCTTGTGGGTCTGTTGCGTCTCGTTTCATGATTTCAGAATTTTCTGAACTTTCTGCGTCTTTAGGTGCTACCGACGTTTCCGCTGACCTACGTTTACGATATAATATATCATTCTTATAAGGTCCATATTGCATAACAGGCCTGAAAGCACTGGCTAAGTCACTTAAAGATTCATCAACACCAGCACGACCAAATCTTAAAAATCTTTTATCTTCAAAGGTTGGACTTCTACCAATTCTGTAAAATTGACGACCAAATCTAAGGAAACCATCACCAGCTAATGCACGACCAAATCGTAGAAATCTTTTGTCGGCGCTTCCCCCATCTGAAAATATAATGTGAAAATTCAAAGTCAGGTTATCCTATAGAAAAAAATGAGAATCGAATGAATTATACCACCTTCAAACCGATTCTTACAGGACACATAACTGTTTCTCGTGAACTTATTGTCTTCATCATGTTTTGTCTGCAACAAATGTTGTTACTCCGCGGACATCGTATCACGAATACGAAGAATGGTGAATGGGGTGTGGATTGGACACGATGTTCCGCGGAGTGAGAAAGGGGATATTCGAATAAGGAATAAGAAATAGTCTTGGTGTTAAACTATTGTATCTGTATTTTATCTTTATTATGATTTCTAGACGTATACGTCAGCCTTTTTTGTATCCTTACATTTTTTTATTCTTAAATTTCCTGCCGATCAGATAATTCTGATAGTCTTATATAGTATATATACCGTATATAGTCTTGTCAACCTTAAAGTCTATGTTTGTTTACGTCTATTGTTGTAAGTTCAAATTCCATTTAAAAGAAAATAATTTGGTTGCGACACTGTAATTACCAGGTCGGCTTGATTATTATTTAATTATATTACTTTTCTTCACAAGAACCTACTCGTATTATAATTGCTTTTTGTTCTGTATTGTTATACTAGTCTTAAATAATTGAAAACAATGTAGTAGTTGACTTATTAATGTTGATGGCGAAACAAACCGAGCAGGTATTGAACCTTCTTGTTACCAAATATGAAGTCATACACTAAACACTAGTGCAGCACTGGTCCAGCCTTGTTTGTTTCGGTTGTAGGAAATTTAAAAAAAAATTAAGAATAGAAAATGATGAATATACCTAGGTAAAGTTAGTTATACAAATGACTATGCTCTGAAAGCGGTATTGAGTTGACAAAGCTGGAAGATGGTCTTATCTTGAGCATGTCAAGTCACCCTTCCCACTGGGCTTAAAGATCAATGTTATCTTTTAAACCTGAATCCAATGTATTCTTTCCTTCAGAATTAAGAACAAGAAATTCATTGTGGTGTATAAAAAATGTGATTATAACTCCCAAACCAACTCATGTTGATTCTGTCAAACTTGATATAATATACGAGAGCTTTGTTCAGGAATGTCTGTTCATTCCACACCTGTCACATTTGATTCATGCTGCAATTCCAGATTTTACCATTCCTCTCGAACTCGTCACGCAGCGCCACCAGAGACCATAAGTTCAAGTGAGCTTTTCTCTTGCTTCACGTAAATAACATCTAACACGTATAACCCCCGGGACCAGTGACAAATAATTACTTGATCTCAAACAGGTGAAAAACAATCACACTAGCATGAAACTAAACGTCACCTGGGAGTAGGCTACCTCCCTTGATATTTCGTAATTCATGATTTTAATGATAAGTATTGATAGGTGTCGTCCATTTTTCTCCTCATTTCTTGACAATCCGTTTATATTCCGATTCCTTATGGACTTTCTTCTGAAGACAAAAGACGTTTTTCATATTCCATTATACCAACAGCAATCAGAAATCAGATATCTCACAATGTTTTCAAGCATAAAACCTTCGTTATTTAATGAGCAATTTTTTTCGAAACACATCTTCCAAAATAACAGGCATGGAAATTATTCACATGTCATTAGGGAGATTAGGTTAAATATGTTTTCAGGTGGTTCATCGGATTTCTAGAGAAAAACAAATCAATCTAACGCAAACTCACATTTATTGGGGAATCAAATCCGATTGCAAGTTAATTCTTTCTTTTTCTTATTGCTTCAAATTTAAATCAGTGTATCCTAATCATGAAATTAATGACGTTTCAGATTATGTATTGCCAGAAGAAAATTTGCTATCAACACGAATACATGCATTTTTATGAAAATGTTGCACCGCGTAAACCTTATCGCTAAATATGACATTTTGTTTACCTTGTCGAATCAGGCTATGAAATTTGGTACAAAAAGTAAACAACGGTATATGATTATCTTTTTAAAAGAACAAGCCTGACCGGTTGCTAATATTTGAAATTCTAATCATTTTAATCTCTAAATTTAATTATTATTGCCGTTGAAATAACATTACAAACGAATTTACATACTTACATACGTACTTTGTTTAATGAAAAAGAAATAAATGCTCATAATATTTGGATTTTTGAAATAAAAGCAATCATTGAAATTCGATTAACGAACAAAAGTAACAGAACAGAAATTATTTCCTTTTTTTTGGAAGTGATAAATGTGACGGCAGTTGTGAACTCCGCACTTCAAAGCTACATCATGATGTTTTAGCATGCTTCTTCTGGTAGCATGAGGCGGTCAATGCCATTTAGAGCGACAAGAATGCTATTTAGGGACTTATTTAGGGTAATATAAGGAATAAACTAATAAACCAACAGCACAGAATCATCCAGTTCAGCCAAACCAATGACTACCACTACCAGCAACTACATAGTTTGCGATATAAGCATAACATTGTCATTTACGAACCAGCCAGCTGACCAACCGTAATATAGGGATGGTCATATCTTCTATTTTGTTAAATAGAGTGCAACTACATTTAAAAAGATTGTTAGGGCTGGTTTGAGAGTTTAGAAAAGTTCTTTACCGTATAAATAAAAGATAGGTCTAGGGTGACACGTCCTTGCTCAGAAAGTGGGTCGTAACTGTTATGTAGACAAACTTATTTCAAATTACAACTGCCGTAACAATATCCTGAGCCTTTTTAAATCTATGCTTTAATTACTGTTTTTCATTCATGCGCCATTCAACAAGATAAATTCGTCCACTATTTCTCTTGTTTACTCATTACTGAATAGTATCGTGATATTTTCCTCTAGTAATTAGTATGTGAAGGCTTATTTCATCCTCTAACCTACATAAACGATTCAGAAAGACGACATTCTGACACCTTATCACAATCTATAAAGAAGTGGTTCGTGGATACGAATAGGTTGAAATGATGAAATATTAATTGATTAGTGAAAGGAATTATCCAGCCAAGACAAAGGCTGTTCAACTTGTCAAAACATAATCGACTATGAATTAAACATTTTAGTGGTTTGTGTACGTTAACCACGTCTTTACGACAGATTCAAGGGTTACTTTATAATCTACTTTTTGCTCTCTGCAAAGGTTTCAAGTGCATGACTGCCTAACAAAAGTCACAATTTCACCTACATTGCCTTCATGTTTTCACGGGTACGTACCTACATTGCCTTCATGTTTTCATAGGTACGTACCTACATTGCCTTCATGTTTTCACAGGTACGCACCTACATTGCCTTCATGTTTTCACAGGTACGCACCTACTTTGCCTTCATGTTTTCACAGGAACGTACCTACATTGCCTTCATGTTTTCACAGGAACGTACCTACATTGCCTTCATGTTTTCACAGGTACGCACCTACTTTGCCTTCATGTTTTCACAGGAACGTACCTACATTGCCTTCATGTTTTCAGAGGTACGCACCTACATTGCCTTCATGTTTTCCCTACATTTGCCTTCATGTTTTCACAGGTACGCACCTACATTGCCTTCGCGTTTTCACAAGTACGTACCTACATTGCCTTCACGTTTTCACAAGTACGTACCTACATTGCCTTCATCTTTTGACATGTACGCACCTTCATCTTTTCAATACAATAAACCTTTTTGTTGTCGTCCATAGCAATTTGTCACGATTTATGACATAAAAGAATCTGATATATCGTTAGTATATTGCATTACTGGTTTGTTTACGTCACAAATTCCAGTTTTGTGGTGGTAAGAAAGACGCAGTACTGTGTCCTCTGTGCTGTGTATTTTGTGGAATTATCGATGATAAACAGAAAATAGATAAAAAATAAATATCAATATCGTGCATATACCCAAAGTCTCCTATAAAGGAAATTCCACAATTTTCACTGCACCAGACATAGTACCTCGACAAGGACTTGACAGGAGAAAATTCTGTCTCCAAAAATGCTACATTATTATAGATTAAGTATAACGATCAAGATTTCAGGAATTCAATTAACATAGTCGACGTATATCTGCAATATATCTACTGATTGTTTTTCTTGATTTTTCTGACCCACCCACATTCATTCCTTTTAATCAGCAAAACATCTTACCATCACTTCAAGTTCGTGATGGCTATTCACCCAGTCCTTAATCATACAAGATCCTGCTGCAATTACATGATCATTATGCTTTCTTTCATTAATTATGTAACGGTTGAATTTCAAAATTCTTATAAAATTGTAAGAAAAAGGAGCGTGCGTGTTGGTAATGGCCGTATAACATTTCATTCAGAATGATATCTAGGGTTTTATCGTAAATTATTATATCATTTTTATGGAGCTCGTGAATGTTCATATCTTTTACTGTTTTAAGTAAAAGCAAGACATCAATATTGATTATATCATAATTATATTTTGATGAAATCGTATTAAATATATATTATTACAAGTAACTGAATTTGGCCTATAAAAGCTTATAAAACCCCGTTTCCAGAATGCAGGTATATCTTCTACGAAATTATATTAGATGGTGTGCTTGGAATGTGCTTTAAGTGGGAATGGGGCAGGGAAAGTAATAACGTGCCTAATTAATCTAACTATGCGTTGTCAATGGTATAGCGGTGAATGAATGAAGTTTTACACCCTACTTTTCTGCACCATGTGGGCTAATGAAGACGGGCAACGCCATGCAGGGTGCAATGGGGGAAATTTTGCCAGGTCATCGCTGCACTTACAAACTTCTGTGATACAAGAAAAGTGGATATTGCAGTCAAGGTATAAGTACGGAGTTCGCACGAGCTTGACATTGTCAAAATGGAGCCCGGATTAAGGGCGTGTTCTGTCTTTATGATGTTTTCTTCTGATATTCGTTTATCTCCATTGTAATCTATCAATTTTTCTACCGTGTCTCATGACTTTAAAATAATATCCCCAAAATAACAGATATAGCCAAGTGCACAGTATGTTAACCATCTGGGAAAATTCCATTTGAAAATCTATAGAAGCTTTTTCGTCGAGCGCCAATATCAACCCTGGGCTTCGCGTAATTACGCAGCGGTTGGTCTTTGTAAGAACAGTAGATCGTCATAGATTGAATTAGGTAACAATTCGAGGTACAAATCAAATTAGTTTATTTTTCTTTGAGACTGCCCTAGTTATTATTACCTTAATTTTCAAAGTAATCATAAAGATGAGATAAAGCAGAAACCGAGATACGTAATTAAATATATAAATTTTAGTAATTTTCTCAGTTCTGAATTGTCCCTTTCTTATTTCAATTTGATTATTATTTGGAAATTATATAGTCGTTAGAGATCTATGAATATAGACAAAATTTAGACTTCACCGTGTTCAGGTTTGTCGGTATATTTGTTCATACTTTAGATGGTTTACTTAAAAGATCCCATGGCAGTTGGAAATCTAGAGTAGGCTGATGTCACTGTCCTGGCAAAATTGTCCAGTTCGGATCAACTGGCGAAGAGATGTCGGACGTAAAACTCCATTTCACCTTTATTTTAATCCGAATATTGCCACTTAATTAGTAATTACTAGTCAAGTCTCTGATTGGCTGTATTCATTAGCCTACAACCAATCAAATCGCTACATTTACAAACTTCCAGGCTACAAGAATGTCAAGTTAATATTAATTATGGAGGGTTTCCTTCTCTTTCCAACATGTAATAATTACCAAAAACCTACATTAACAGTTAGCATAAACTTGTCATTAATCACCTATATAACAAATTCAGGTTATCAATCTATGTGGTTTTTGCATTTGATTTCTTTTCTACTTGATTTCATGTAAAAGCTCAGACATATTTCACATTTTTTTACATCACATCGCATTAAAATTCCATTAAAATTGCGTAACGCTTAGTTTTCCCAAGCAGACAATGTGTGGAAGACCATTTATCATAATCTTTTTCAATTTTCAAAGCACAGGCGATGTCATTTGTTCATAACTCAATTATATACTCGGTTGACAAGAGCAAGACATTTGTGAAAAATATCTGATTAAATTTAAGGGTCAAATCTTCAGAAAAATACGAGAATATGAAACCAAACTTGATTAGGAAAAGCTTCATCCGTCTGCAACATCAGTCAGGTTATAGGAAAACCAGATGTCGTCTTTTAGACTGGATCAAGTTTGTAAGTTATATTAGAATATATACCACTATATGCCCCAATTATCTCATGCTTATCTCTATTGTGACTGTTTAATTGGCTGATTTTACTAAAAAATATACTTGCCTCCCATTAAATCACATAGACCTCTGTTTTCTGACAGGGAACAATCTAAAGCATCAGCTAAGGATATCGTACATAACCATTTTAATGTTAACACCAGTCCTAAACCAACCGAGGACCACGATTTCATTCTTTACTCGACAAAAAACTTCTGAAATAAAAAAAAATAGATTGATTTATCTGGAATCAAATGATTTGACCTTAGAAAATAGACATAACATCACTATTGAATAAAAAAATGCCCGAAAAATTTAAATCTTGAACAACAAATTTGTTTCCATTGTAGAGAATGGTGTGCCCAAGTATTGAATTTATATATCGGAAATGCAAAATCGAATAAAAATTGATGTATTGTGTTACTGCAAAAATTATGCGATTCCAAGTAGACACATATTTTGTTCAGGTGCACACTTTATATTCATAATTCATAGAATATATTGTCTATTCGTAAGTTATCTATACGGATATAAAATCTAGTTAATTTTCACACGACTTTAAAGCATATAAATATGTGTTCGTCAGTTAAACACAACTATCATACAAAATGGTGTGGAATGGACAAAACTTGTTATAAATAGGTTGTACCGCTACGACCAACCCCAGATCTATTCTTTCAGTCAAAACGCAGTCCCTTTATCCGTGGTGGTAACTTGCAATAACACCGTCTAGTAGAATATGTTTAAGTAGAAAGTGAAAGGTTAACAAGATTAATAGCAAGTTAGTACCACCAGTAAAACGTCCGTCTAAATCCTTTCGAAAAACCCCAGATTTAGCCACGAGGTAACTAAATTATATAGCTTATAATATATCCTAATACACTGTTCAATATTCTCGTCCTTACAACATTAACTAGCAAGATCAAACTTTTTCTATCAAAAATGAGAGAATCCACTAAGCTACATTCACTTAGAGCATTGTCATCAGAATATCAAGGTTTTTTGTGTGTAGTATTATACAACTCTGCCTACTTACTAATTATATGACCTGAATTCCAGAGAGGAAAACATTTCTCACAGAATTTGTCCTGGATCTTAAGTTTTATTTTCAAGTCTAATGTCAATTTAAAAAGGTACATTAAAGTCTTCGAAATTAAATTGAATGAAATGCTTTTTACTTTCTTTGTTTTTTATTGTGTCTGGAGCATGTCATTGTCGAAATAGCGAGCACTATTTTCATTAAAAACAAAATATTGTTAGAACGATACAAAAGTTGCCGATCTTTTTACATATTTAAATTACGACTACAGAATAAAAATGATTCGTTTAATATTCTGAAGTTAGATTCTTTTGGAATACTTAAAGGTTGGTTAGAGAGTGGACTTCACAGAGAGCACGGTAAGGTTACAATCAAGAATTGATAAGAGGTCATAGAAGGAATCAAGTATTTGGTTGGTTAAGATTATCATATTTGTTCATACCAAATCGATGGCGGTAACCTTTCAAACATGATTTGTTTTATGTTCGACAATCTTTGATTTTTGCTTCATGACAACTCATACAAGAATGTTAAGTTTGTTGAACTTGAGGAAAAAATATTCATTCGATTTGTAAAACTTCCCCGTATTTATTTCAATTGTTTAATAGATAAAAACAGATACATGTAACTTTATCGGGACTTTAAAGGGACAGATTCAACATCCATTTGACAAATCATTCCTTGGTCTCAGAAACGGGAATTTATTTTTAGCTAAGGTAATCAGTAATGGTGTTCACAGCTCACCGTCGAAATTTGAACCTTCAAATTCATGTGTGTGCAGAATTACCCGACTCATCTTTTTTTTGAGACTCTACCACATAAAGAAAAGACAGATATAGAAATAAAAAGTGAAATTCCTAGTTTGAAGTATTTTTGAAGGAATTATGCGATTTTCGTACCTTTCTAGATTTACAAAAATCAAGACCTAAATCAAATCACCAAAACATGGAGCATCTGTCCCTTTAAGGTGCCCTCATACCATAGCGATCACCAGTTACAGATGATTGCGAATAAGATCAGCGGTCACAGGTTTCGAACACATGCAACTGAGTAGTGAGTTGCGTTCGGAACTCATGGTCACTTTCTGCAACCATACGCAACTGGTAATAGCTCTGGTGTGAGGTCCACCTGATATAGTCTTAAAAGTCAATATCAACTTACGCTGAACTGGCTTATTAATTCCAAAACCCTCTTTCAGTGCAGGGGAGAGGGGTCTAAATAACACTTTACGTCACTTACAAAATCACGAAAGTCAAAGAAGACAG